GCACACACACACAACCCCGTTACAATATGCGTTCTGTACTGCTGTTACACAGCACAAAACCCATAAAAAACGTACATGCGTACCGCATCCGGCGAAATGAACTTGTTCAGTAGCTCATCGTCGTCACTTAGCATTCCGTCAATTCCTATCGGTTCGGTGGTGATTTCTGGCAAACCGAGCTGCTCCAAATGCTCGAACTGTTCCTGTGTCATTCGAACTGCCAGTGCAACAATTTTCGAGAACGATATATGAGAGAGGAAATCGCACAACTCATTCGGGCTACAGTGATCCGAATATTCAATGCAGTGCAAGCGCTCGTTGCTGAAAATTCCAAACATACAGTCACTTTGCTCTTTCCGAACGGCCTTTTTTTTGGACTGAAATTGCCAGATTGACAAAATGAAAATGTATTTGACAAAGCAATGTGAAAATAATCTGCTTCTTTAGGATGCTGCAACGTATGACAACACTTTGCAACTACGTGTATGCAACGCCACAAGAAAACCAAGATCGCCCGGGCTATCTGTGTGAGTATTCCATGTTAATGATATTGCTGCGATACTATGCATTATACCTACCTGGCGAGCCAAATTGTTTCCTAGTGAGGTTCTGAAAATTTCTAAATCATGTTTGGTTGTTTGTAAATGAAACCAAACAACCGGTTCCTCGCCCAGCTCTTTCTAGAGCCCAGTACAGAATAATTGGCCAACGCACGGGCTGCCCATGCGAAGATGCGTTTTTTGCATGGTTCCCCGCAGTTTTCGTTGCTACCGGCACCTGTTTTTTCGGCAAATGCTTCTAGCTAAACAAATTAAGACTGGCCGCCAGAACTGTCAGAAAACATCGCTTTTCTACTTCCCGGCTTCTGAATTATCACCTACTTGGATGGGGAACGTCACCCTAAGATTTCAGCGCTCTAGCTTCTCAGATCTCCCCCGAGTTATGAACTTACACGAAAAAAATTTTGGCGGGCCCATACGCGGGTACCACGCTTACCCGGGGGATGGGTTTGAGTGCATTAACACCCAGTTGGACGGGGAACATCACCCTAAGATCTCAGCGCACTAGCTTCTCAGATCTCCGAGTTATGAACATAACCCAAAAAAATTTTGGCGGGCCCGTGCACGAGTACCACGCGGGTGATGGCGCCAATTTTGGAGACTGTGGTCGACACGTGCATGTAGATCAAGTTCCCCAAATTTCAGCCTTGCAGCTTTTATAGGTCCTGAGATGAAAGTGCGTGACAGACGCACACACAGGCAACCCCTCGTCAATATGCGTTTTGCATTGCATAGCTGCAAAAAACGCAAAAAAAACCGGTAAAAGTTGAGCAAAAAAAAAAAAGAAACAAGCAGCAGGTAGGATATGATACATCGTTGCACTGCTTCCCGGAAAAATGCAAAAAAAAAGCACATAAACATATTTCAGGATAGCAATAAAGTTGACCAGCATGTGCCATGGGAAAGGCATCATACGCATCGAAGAAGCGCGCAAAAAACCGACGAAAGCTCATCAAAGTTTTAGGACAAATTTGCTTGAAGTATCAACTGAAAGCATGAAAATTGCGATACGATTTATCATCATGTAATCGTCATATGTACTGTATATACTTTAGTTTGTGCTTCTTTGTATGGTTCTTCAGCTATGCAACTCGAGACTTTGAAAGTTGTTTTTTTTAGTAGTGCTGCACTGATTAATAAATAGCAACGCGCACCAGACTAGCTGGTACGATCATGCATTTTGTGCAATTCAGCCCATCGAACGATAGCCTATTAATGATTTTCACTGCCTTGTACTTTAGTCTATGCAAAAATAGTTCAAAAATTGGAAAACAGTTAAAAATTTCACGCACCAGC